TTGTTATTTTAGCACATGCAACTATTATTTACTCACATTCTCTTCAGGCCATAGGCATGGCATGAGCCTATGAGATAAGAAGTAGTCCGGGTTGAACAATATGGAATACGAGGAAGTCCGGCCGAATAATAGATGATCGAACGTATCCCAATGATAATAATAATGTAAGGCTTGGAAGGAGAGTGTGTTATGGATAATTTAATTGAATGCAGAAGGAGTAAAATGTGAGTAATAGGTAAGTGACTCCCAGATGAGTGCACTCCAGCAATGAGCAGGCCGGAGTCCAGAGTCGCACTCCGGCGGGTGTAGTCACCGGGTCCGGATATCTGCAACTGACCATAAGGTCGTTGGCTCCGGGAGTGTCTGAGCGTAAATAATCACCACACATTAATGTCCTTTGTGAACTGGCCTTGGGAAGTGGTTGGCCAGTAAGGCCAGACACGTCCGTGACCTTAAGTGGAACTTTGATACCGTCTGGCGCGCACGCGCTGGTGGACACGAGAGCCAGACATGCGGGACATGTATGGGTTAGAATACAAGGTCGCCACAAGCCTTTACGGAAAGAATGCGTTAGCATAGCAGCAAAAGCAATGGAGAACAGCACTTATATCGCAGACGGCATTCATGTGATAAAATTATAGTGTCGATGATACGAAGTGGCCTGTGCTATAGTCTTGCCACAAGCCTACATGTTACTCGTTCAAGTACACTTTGTTCGAATCCTCGGCAACAATAGCGTATGTAGGCCCACACATTCATCCCTACTCCCTGCATGTTTTACTACGAAAACGGTGGTTGTAGTGTTTTATGGGTGGGAAATTTGGATAGGCAGTGGATTATACTTTAATAAATGCCAAACGCATTTTTATTTCACTGTATTTAGAAGTGTTTTTGATTTATATCTGTAGATTTTCCTACTCCGTATTATCGTTTAACTTATTGCGGAAAATCCGACTATCAAATTGCAGTTTTCTTTAATTACCCGAAAATTTGAAATGGTGGTTAGGAGGTCGTCTACTTCAACTTCCCTGAGGTCCAACTTACCATTCTCGAATTAGATTAGTATAGTCCGCGGCGCGAAGCGCCGCGCACACCTTTAATTTACAGGCGGAACAACCTACTCCAAGCGGCCGCGGGAAGCAACTTCGACTAGATTTTGTTCACTTTACACTTACTTCTAAAAATTTCCTTTTCTGCCTATCCTGTGTCCCGACCCCCAAAACTCTATAAACACCGTTTTTGCAGGACAAAATGCTGAGACTAGGGGTATAT